TTGACTTTGGTCTCACGCAGCTAGAAAATATTGTGACGAATTTGGAGAGAAATTTGGTTTTCGAAAGAACAAAAATAAACTCATTGACAAGACAGATAAACCATGTATTATTCAGCAAACGACCAAACAATTGTAAAGGAAAGGGAGAAGCGTGCGAAAGATACAAACAAAAAACAAAAACAAAAAACAAAACAACAACAAGAAAACAAAAAAAGGATACAATATAGCAGACTGATACCTATGGCAATGCTAACATACCTGCCATGTTATGACAATGCTTTTTGTTGACGTTGCCGTTGCAAATACGCTTGGTTTTGCTTCTGGTTCTAAAAGAATATGGTGAACATTTACTTTAAACATAACCTTTTTCCGAATTGATGCATGAAGAGCCACTCTCACATGAAAGAACTTGAAGGAAACTGCATGTTATTGTAATACTATAGTGAAATTTTCTGTGATATGAAAGAGAATAAAATAAGCCTTACTTGCTATCAATGTAGCTACAGTTTTAGCGTCGCTCCACAACCCCTCACCAACCACACTGGTTGCTTTCATTTGAAGTGTGTAGTTAGTGTATGGTTTGAGTCCAGTAAATGTATGCTGCGTCTGGTTAGATCGCACGTGTGTTTCTTTGCCATCCAACTTGATTGTGTACCCAATAATGATGCCCACATCGTCTAGCTGTACAGCAGGAATCCAACTTATCGTCATTGATCTTTTACTCGAATTAACGGAAAATAACTGCTTTTGTGGAACATCTAGAAAATAACGTAACATTTGTTGGTAAGTATATAAAAGTGAAACGATTATTTGGGATGTAAATCATATGCTTTCTTCAGTTCAAAAGTATCGCAGAAGTTGACTTGCGTGCTGCTCTTCAATGATGATGAATTTTGATGTCTTTGTCTGATATTTTAGATGAGCAAGATTTTAGAGAACAGAATGGTTGTCACTGTTTACATGACTAACAAAAGCTCTCTCGGGCGCGCAAATGGCCAGAGGCATACGCCCCTAGACAGATAACGCTCGCTTTGATTGACAGGCATGCATTGCTTTTTTGCAAGCAGCATCAAGCAAAATCAAGCGATTTCTTTACTGTAACCAGCATATATCGTGTTTTTTTCTTACTTAGGTTGACAGTCAGTTGAGCCGTTGCTTGAGCTTGAGAAACATTCACTGAGGGAGTAGCTCTACAGGTGTAGTTCATCTTACAGACCACAGACCTCAAGTTGGGATCTTTTCTTTTGCATTTGTACGTAGATATAATGTCCTGAGCGGAGATAAATTCMACCTTGAGAGAACCATTTTTTGCTCCCTGAATGTTCGTTGAACCATTACGAAACCATTGAATAGCTTCCGATGTTTCACTGATTTCTGTGCAATTCAGTGTTTGAAAGCTTCCTTTTGTGCTTGTTAATGTGATTTTATTTGTATCGATCGCAGCTTTAGGTGATATTACTGCAATAAATATTATATTAGCCATTTACTGTTTTGTGTAATGCTAAAAATTCTCAAAATTTTGGAATGTAAGCAGTGACAGTTGGATAGTTTTCAGTGGCGGATCAAGCATTGTTCAAAACGGGGTCCAAGTTTTCCACTTCTCTGGTTTTGATATGTGAGTGCGGTTCGTTTGAATGCAGATTATACAATTTGTCTTAATTAAGTTAAATAAAAACGGTTGCAGCTGACGCCGTCAACCCCTGGAGCCGCCACTGATTTTTGCTGTTTTTTGAAGCGTTTTTCTGTCAAAAGATTATAATAAAATCATGTAACAACTAATAGCGGAACTCCAATAGAATAAAATGTGTTTATCAGAATTCACCACGATACTTAATGCACCTCTCCTTTATTATTTGTTTGAGTCCCTGAGTGTATTTCCGTTGTTATGTTTGACCTACCCTTTTATGATGCTATGCATAACAGTTTTAACTCTAGAAGTTCACCTTTTGAGATCCTCACTCTATACTCATCATCAAAGAATTTCATTGCGTGATGAAAGAAAATCGACCGCCGTTCTTTCCCATGCATTCATATTTAGCCAAAGCTGCTGTGTTCGTAACAATGCGTAACAATACCAGACGCTTACATGTAAACGCTTATTTTGTTTTGCTGCTTGGAATAGTTCTGCATTGTCACGTCTGATGTCATGACACTTATGCAAATACCAGACGAATTGAATAATTGTCGAGAATTCTCTAAACCTCTCCTGTGTTTATATTTAGCTATGCAAACACGGAAAGAGAGGACCGAAAGAGTTTCCTAATGCTCTATTGTAATGAAGC